TTTTTTTCCCCCTCCTTAACATTTTGTGGCCTCCGCCCCTCCCCCCAGCCGCCCTGCCTTTTGGGCTCACCGAAATTTGAGTGCCACTTTTCTGGGAAAGCCTGATATTCTGACTTCAGTTTTGTAATTTAATGATGGAGAGTTTCCTTAGTAAACCAAATTTAGAGTCCTAGAATGCTTATCTTATATCCAGACCTTGAACATAAAAGGCATTTTATACCCGCAATTGTTCATTTAATGAGCAATTGCAGAGTGCAGGCCGGTTAAGGGATTGAGCTATATGCACTATTATTGCAAGAAGTATTCCGAAATACCAGAAATAGGACGTAAGCTCTGATCAGGGAGACTGCGAGCACAATTACCTTCTTTTCAAATCCTTCTGTGACACTGCGGGAGGAAAAAGGACTTTGAAACTTGAAAGGAAAGAGCTTGCTTTCAACCTCAAAAGCTAGGAGGAAAGGGCTCTGAAATTTGCTCTGAATTCCCAATTCACCATTAGCCTGTTTCTTCCTTTAGCCTCAAGGCATTCTCCGCTTTTTGAAAAGATGTTAAGAAATTCAGTCACAATAGAGAGCCTAGTTCTGAACGTGTTTCACTCGGTCCATTGAGGTCTGGGCTCCAGCCTTTGTGTGGAGTGAATTGAGCTGAGCGGCTAGCTGGTTGCAGAGAGGTGAATGAACAGTCGCTGTGCAGTGGCAAATTCTGGCAAAGAAAGAAGCGCCCCCTCTTCCTTTATTTTCCAATATGCATTCCTGTACAACCCCGCTAGTGGCCATATGTGGCGTCGAGCCTGTTCTTAAGTCAATACGGGGTCCTTGGTTTATTGCAACTCTTGTTAAGTTTGTCTTGTAATTGAAGCTGCTGTTGACCTTGCTTGGGGACCGTTTGTAAAACCGTTTATTTAGCATAAACTGAAATAATAAACCCTCCTTCTCTGGGGCTGATTGTGATAGGGTGACATTAGTTTGATTTAATGATTAGCCAGCCTGACCCTTCTGCTGGAGAGAGTGCCTTGAATAGAGAGAGTTCACTCGGAAGCACTCAGAAAGAATACTAATGAGCTTGTTAAATTTAGCATGGCTCCAACCACTTTTAATTCCTCTAATGGGAGCAAGCACTGCTTGGGAGAGGGAGAGGGCCAGGGTGCAGGGAGGCAGGGAGACACCGAGAATGTTCCTAGCAGATCTGCACTGCTAGAGAAAGCCCAGCAGAAAGAGAAGTTTGCAGAAAGTAGCTAGCCAGAGCCTGGGACTGAGTTGTAAGTATCCATCTGTTCGCTTTCGCTGTGTCTTCTGTGTCTTGCGGGGAAGAGAGGCGTGATGCTTTTAAAATGGGATTGCAGGGGATGGCTTAAAATCCACATTCATTTCAAAGAGGTGAGCACTTGAACCACTGAGTTCCTCACCCGCTGATTTGGTCAGGGGGACAGGAAGTGTTCCTGGTCGGTGATGCGGTGCAGGGTTTTACCTTTCCATGGGAACAGTCATCTGAAACTTTTCTGTCCAGTCCAATGCAAAAAAGCAGTTGTGTCCTGGGTCTCTAGAAGGAGTCAATCAAGAGTTTGGGAACAAATGCACAGGTGTGTGTGTGTGTGTGGGAGAGTGTTGAGTCCTGCTTCTCACCACACGGTGACTTCCTGGAAACCTTCCCTGTAAATGGTCTAAGCGATGCTGGTGATGAAGCCGCTCTTGAGTTGTGAGAGTTTATGGCACCAAGCGCGTCTGATGCAATATGGGTTGCCTTTGGATGAGTTTGGAAAAACCTGGGACAGCTTCTGAAATGCAATGTGGGGGCAGCCCTCCCTGCGGTGGGTGGGAATTCCCTTATTTCCACTGGAGCACAGATCTGCAGAAGGCAGGGGATCCAAAGTGGGATCCTGATGACAGTTTTGAAAACAATTTTTCTCCTGAAGCTTTTTAGAGACTTGCATGTCTCAGTCTGACCCTCCGAGCCTGCAGCTGCTGAACCGAGAGAGGCATGAACAGTCGCCCTGTGTTTGGCTGTTCAAATCCACTGGCAGATGCTTCTGGAGGACTGGGCTGTTTGCTTACATTTTTGTAGCCGACTTCTGCTTGTTGCCATGGTGGACAGTATGTTTCTGTCAATAATTTGGCCTGGCGTAGCCTGTCTGCGCTGACTCTCCAACTTTATTGAACAACTCAGCTCGACTGAGCAAGATTAGACAGCTCTCGTCTTTTTGGCTTGCTAGAGTGGTTGCTAAATTTATAAGAGCAGGCAGGAATATGGCTTGGAAAATTTCCCTTTCACTGTAGATAGCACGCTTTCAAGCCTCAAAGCTGTTTGTATTCTGGGAGTGTGTACTGTCAAGGTTTCATCCTGAATGCCCCTCAGAATCAACTCAGTATAGGAGATGAACTTCAGGAAATAATCGCCTGCTGGAATTTTCTGGAGAGGGAGAGTAAGTGAAAATGTGGGAGTCTTGACTCGTATAAGAGTAAGTCTGATGAAAGTTTCCACATGAAAAAATCCCGGCCTGCGTTTTACTAAGAGAATTAGTTCATTTTTTTCAGTATAAAGTGTTTGAACTTTGCTGACTTCTTGTTCTAATTTGATATTCACGTATATTGTGTTAACTCTCTTGAAGAAATTAATTTTTAGCTAAAAAGACCCTCCCGTTTCCACTTACCCGCCTCCCCTTAACTGCTTCTTTCTCCCATGAGGTGGAGAAGAAGGTGGGAGGGCTGTGATTAGTCCATGCCCATTATTCAGTTATTTGTGAAGTTGGATTCAAATGCTTGTCCGTAAAGACATCGTGTCTAAGAAACTCACTCTATTGTAGGGATACAGTTTTAAGAGAAGAAAAGTTAATTTCTTCTAGGAAGATTAAGTCAAGGGAATCCTGTTTTAAACGTGGAACAGATTAGTAGGACTTGGTTATTCATCTTTCCCAGAGAATGCTAATTGCGTGTCACAGTCCCTCTTGGTATGATCTGTCTGGCTTTCCAAATGCAGGTCCATTCTACAGAATTTACACCTTAGTGCAAAGTTGAAATTGGAAGTTGTGCAGGCACAACTTAGTGGAAAATATGACTGGCCATGGTGGGAGTTTTTATAAACCAACTATGAGTTTTGAGTGTTTTTGACATCCTTCTGTCTTTACATCACTGAAAACCTTCATTCTGCAGCCTGCAACTTTACTGCTAATGAAGTTTGAGTGTGAATTAGGGCCTAAAAGTATTAGAGAAATTAAAATGTAGGATTTTTTGTTGTTGTTTTTGTAGTTTGTTTTTAAACTAGCATGGTTGGAATTGCTTTTGTAAAGATCAATGTGTGAAAATGTGACCATTTTCTTTTTTAGTAGTTACTTGATAGATTAAACTCATAATTTATCCCATCATTACAAGATTTGAGGGTGGGGATCTGCACAAAATAATGCTAAAATAATATTTCACAGTTATCCAGCAGTAGTCAGCAAAATCACTGTAAAGTCCAGAACATACCTCATCGCCTATTTGGTTTTGAAAGTCATTTGCTAGGCTTAAAAAAAAAAAAAAAATACACTGCTTGTTTCTTCAGGTCCCAAAACATAGGCAGGAAAATGAGAGTTGCTACTGGCTTTAGGTAGTTCAAATTATTAATCATCACAAAAGAGTTGTTGTTACTTGAGTTTGTATTTTCACACTAGTTCATGTTCATAGCTATTCTTCTAAATCTGTCAAAAGAGCTATGAAATTGCTAAAGCATGCTTTTTCCCTGTTTTTTTTTTCTTTTTGAAGATAAGTTTAAGAGAGCATGTCTTTAAGAGAGTATGTCTACTCAGCTAGACATACCTCTGGTTTTTTTGGATTTTGAAGAGAAGTTTGTGTGTGAAGATGAGATGAGTTCAAGATCTGTTCAGCTAAATAGTACAACAGTATTATTATTTATACCCACTTAGAGTTTTTTTGTTTTTGTTTTGTTTTTAGGATCAGGAATGAGAAACAGCTTTCAAATGAGGTGTCTAAGCAGTGTCCCAACAGCTTTTTTCCCAACAGCCCTTGTCTGCCAGAACACAGTCTGTGGCTCAAACACAGAGCTTGTATGGGCATAATTGAGAGCGTGCGTATGATTCTTACAGATGAATTGGTCCACTTGTTGTGGGTTCTGATTGCCAGTTTGGTTTGATTTTATGCCACAGGTCTTTGATCTGCTATTATCGGAAAGGCCATCCAATCACATTTGCAGAGAACCATAGTGGACAGATGGAAAGTTCTTACAGATGAAAGGGAACAGAAGTATGAGGGAGTTTGAATTTCATCAAGCCGTTTCTTACATGTTTGAAACGATGTCTGGAGCCCACCAGAGTGTGTATGTAGATCAGTGTGACTGATGCTCTCCACACCCACATTCTATCCCCATTTTCCTCTTAGCTCTCAGCTCGGTTCGGTGGGCCGAAGCAGGAAGTGTCCTGTAAGGGGCACTGTAGGTTTTCATGATTGCCATCTTTATCCCTTGGAACCAGTGGGTTTTCTGTCCCATGTCTGGCACTGTTTCATCTCTCAGTGGATCATACATCTGACTTAAAATCACAAAGACAAGTTTTGCTTTCTAACAGGTCCTCCTCCGAGAAACAGGGGTCCCTTGCCTCCTGGATCACTGGAGACCCGGCTTCCTCAGGCCAGGAGAAGCTGGCAATACACAGCCTTAGTCTGGCAACATCTCCAACTCCTCAGGCCCCGCAGGGATACTGACAGGTCCCTGATGGGAAACCTCACTAGCAGATTCGTCTGGAAGCTGGGGATGAGAATTTGCTTACATCTCAATTTAATAGGCTCATTTCGTGCTCCCCTTCCTCCTTCGATTTGTATCTTGGACCCTCATTCATAAACAGTTTTGGCTTGAGACCCTCCAGTCATGGCTAGCTTTCAAAGTTGCCAAGAATGAGAAGTAGGCTTCTTTGGGAGGTGGGAAGATGGATGGATGGGGAGCCCCAACTGATGATGGGTTTTGAATGTCTCCTCAAAGTGTTCACAGAGTTTTCATTTCCCTTCCGTTTTCAGAGGATGAAAGTCCTGGACAGACCTATCACAGAGAGAGAAGAAACGCAGTCGCTATGCAGCCACAGATTGCCCCGGGGCTGGGCAAGATCAGCGAGGAGCCTTCCACATCCAGCGACGAGAGGGCCTCGCTGATCAAGAAGGAGATCCATGGGTCCCTGCCCCACCTGGCCGAGCCCTCCGTCCCCTACCGTGGGGCTGTGTTTGCCATGGACCCCAGGAATGGCTACATGGACCCTCACTATCGTAAGTCGCCCCCAGTCCGTGGCACGTGCTGCGGGAGCCAGGGCAGGCTGTGTGTGAGCGCATGTGCACTTAGTTACTTGTCTTATACTGTTTTATGCAAATGGGTAATTTACTATCTACTGTACTTCTTAACTTCTCCCTCATCCTATTCCTTCTTTATAGGGAAACCATTTCTTTCCATCTCTAAGCAACTTGGACCTGTGGGGCTGGGGGGCGGCTGCCAGGAAGGTGTCCGTCTGTGGCGAATCCACACAGACTTTTCCTGGGAACTGAAACCAGATTTTCTTCACCCAAGTAGACCCTGCTGGAGGAAAATCGGTTGAGGAGGGGGGAGTTATTAAAGTGGGAGGCATTAGCAGATGTCTTTAATGGCAGATATTCCCCTTGTTAATATATATATATATATTTTTGCTTTATTGTTGAGGAACAAACAAACCTCTTTTAACCAACCAGGGACAAATTCCTTCCTGTGGAAGATTTTTCTGTGTATTCTAATTTCTTCTGGAATTCGCAGACCGGAGACCTCGTAAGCTCCTCTTCTCGCACTCAGAAAGTTTAAGAAATGAACTAGGATGGTGAACACACCCACGGAATGGTTTTCTCCCAAGGCAGAATGCAAAAGAAACTATATAAGTGTTGAGCTTGTTTCCAGCCTGGTTCTAGTTAAAATATATAATTCAGTGGTGGAGTAATGAAGTTCATATTGAGATGCCCAAGCGTGCAGCTCTTGATTACAGATTTATCACCTTGCCAGGATACAGACCTGCTGTTTAACCTTCCTGGCTCCAATTCCAGATGATCCATCGTGTGCCACAGAGGGGGACTGGTTTGTGTTTTCCTTTTTCCACATCATTCAGAAATTTTAGTGTTTTAAGGCAAAAGGTCATTAGCCAGATGACTGATGAGTGAGGACAGCTGATTAGTGCATGTTTTTTGGTTCAAGAAAGTGCCCAGGATAAAAGCTAATTTCATCCCTTCATTAGTTGGCTTGAAGCAGAGGGGAATGTTCCCTCATCAGGGCGCAGATCAAAGTGCTTCACACAACCTTAAGTCTCAGCAACTGCTCCCCCCTCCTCCCCAACTAGATTATATTGTTGGTAAAGATGGAAGATACATTACTTTTTTTCAGTGGAGGGAGAATTTTTTTTTAAGTGGTCAGAGGCATAGAGGAAAAGGTTTGATGGCTTCTTGTTAGTTTTTCAAAAAGCCTGCAACTTTTCTGTTTAAAAAGTGCTTTTCAGCCCTATGGCTGCAGTTGTTAACTTCTACAGTTACAGAAATGACGAGGTATAGTGTGTGTGTTCCTCTTCTTTCCTCATTAGAGATTTATTTCATTTTATTTTTCCTTTATTTCTGGAATGAGAGTTTACAATAGTTGTCAGTAGGGTTTTTCTCCAAGCCCATGTCTGAGTTTTCTACATTGTATTTTTGTGGATGGGTCTCTATTAGATCTCATCCATGCAGAAAATATGAGGGACTCTACATGCTCCCTACCTATATTAATATTCCCCAAGAGTATGCTTACTTTTGAAAAAGGATAAAGTCTTTTCCTTTTATCAGCCATACATGCCCTGCATTGTTTGTGCCCTTGGATGGGAACACAGACTTTCCCCGTTTCATGTTTATGTTTTGTTTTTCATTCCAGATGCCCACTAATTAGTGAATAGTTAATTGCTCAGGACAGCTGAGCGAAGTAGGCAGATGACCGTTAACTTTCTCTGTGCCGTTCAACGTGCAGCTTGCTCTCGGCCCATTTGTTTTAACGGTTTGCCCATAGAGTCCTCTCCTCATCCTTTGAGGGGCTGGGATCTCTGCACGCCTGGGACCCTTGTCCCTGCTCGGTGCTCCTTGTGTGTGACCCCCTTCTCCAACCTCCAGTGGGAGTATGAACTAGCACAGGGCACTGGAAAACTCTTGATGGCTCTTGGACCCCTTGCTTGTCACTCTGGTGAAGAGACATCGCACCTATAGGTTGACTGTGCTTCAGCTTTTCCCACGGTATTGTTCAAACCACTATAAAATCATTGGGTAATTTACAAGTGAGGTAGGTTGTCTATCACCAAATGGCAAATGCTTTTCTGCCCCACCATTCCAAGGTACTCATTCAGTTGGGCATGAATAAATGTTATCGTTACATCCATCATATGGACGTGGAGTCCTGGAGAGTCGCTCAGCAACCAAGGCACTCATGTTCCAGCCTTGCCACCTACTGACCTCGTGACTGTCACCAAGTGGGCTTGTCTCTAAGATCCCTCCGAGGATCCCTTCTCAGCTGTTGAATGGGAGTGATGTGAGACTGCCAGCCCCACAGCGTCCTTGGGACAATTAAGTGAGACAGTGCCAATAAAATACCAATATTTTGTACAATCTCTGGCTCGTGGTGAATGCATCTGAATCACTAGGGATTCTCTCTCTTCTCTGCCTCGTTTTCCTTCTCCTGCTTCTTCCTCTCCTTCCTGTTCTGTCTTCATCATCATGAGTAGCAGCAGCATCGTCCCCACCACCATCTGTATGTGATATGTTCACTCACCAAACCAAGGCGTCTTGTCAGAATTGCAGTTGTGTTTGGTTCAGTGTAGACTGGCCTTTCTCTGTCAGACCTGCCTTCCTGATTCCCCAAGGTCAGTGTCTTCTCTAAACACAGATTAGAGATGGAGTGAATTGTAAAAAAAATCTTTTCTTAGGGAAAGAGTGTGGGGTTAGCATGGAGGGCTGTAGTCTTCTAATCAGAAGTCTTTCTCACTGAATCTTAAAGGACGGACTGTCATTTTTTCCTGTTTGAGGAGCAGAGAAATTTAAAACCTTTTACATGAGTTGCAGTTGTTTTAACATTTAAAATTCCTACCAGAAAGTGTTTTATATGACATATACAAGCTTAAAGCCTGTGGAAAAGTGAAAGGTATAGTATTTAGGTGTTCATGGTAAATGATGTAAAGGTGTCCTAAACTAAGCTCCAAGAAGTCAGTAGGACATGACTCTATTTTTTCTAGCCCCCACTTGGATTATTTAATCTTCTACCAGTATAATGAGTGCTTTTTTAGGTACTTTGTAATAATACCTATCTGACATGGATTTAATCCTCCAGGTAAATGACAGATGGGAAGCTGAAATTGACACATCTTCCAAGAATCTTTTAGCGTGTGAGAAAAGTGCCCTCTTTTTCAAATGAGATGCAAAAGTTTGGCCAAGTTTCTTTACCTTGTCTCCGTCGGCAGCCTTGTCAAGCACTCAAACTGACTGTGGACCTTCGGTAGCTAAAGGTTCAGAGACATCTTTTTAGGTCACTCCCTTTTCCCTTGAGTCGTCTGCCAGCCCCACTAGACCCTTGGAGGGAAAGACTTCTCTAATCCAGTGTAGCTGGGCTTGTGAACTCTCACAGTAATTCCTGCGTTTCTCTGTGGTTGGAAAACGCAGACGTTCCAAGATGCCTAATTTGTGCTTCTATATATACTAGCTTTGTATTTCTAACGTGTGGGCAGGCTTCCTGTAAGACCGGAAAAAGGAAAATCGTTTTTCCCCTCAGAAGGACATCTGTAAAATTTTTATTGCTTAAGGCTCTGTTATACTTGGGTAGGCAATGTTGCATCTTCACAAATTGCACTTAGGCGGGATTCAAAGTATTTTGGGTTTTGTGGGTTTGACTTTTAGAAAAAAGAAAAAGAGAAAACCCCAGGATAGCGGGCACTTCAAACATTTGCAACATATGTTTGGAATAAAATCTTCACGGGGGGACCGGGGGCTTTCTCTCGCCAAGGGTAGCTGTGGAAGGGGTGTATATCAAGGCAAGAAAGTAGATGTTCCAGCCGCGTGGCTCAGACCTGGGGTGGTGCTGACAGGCTGGCTGCTGTGGGATCGCTTGTGCTTTATAATTGGGCAGGGCATGGGAGGGACCAGATTTGGGGATTCTGACCTGCTTGTCCTGGAGTCAGGATGACGACCCCCATCTCCAGCCCAAAGATTTCTTAGCAAAGATTTTATTCTGCTCCTGCTTCATCTGCAGCCAGATATGCCAAACCACCATCACTCCCTGCTTTCACTTACCACCGTGCATTTCTTCTTTTATAAACTGACAAGGCAGGTGACATAATAGTTAAAGCATTCCTGTACCCTGGCCGACACTTAACTTTTATTCGCTTCCCTGTTACAGAAAACATGTGTTGCATTGTCTTCTGGACTGTGGAGTGCAGTTTTTTAACTATCCCTGCTGGGCTCTTGGTGGGGAGTTTCTTGGAATCACCATCATGTCATATAGGTCCCCTGCTGGTTTTGTTACGGTGAGGGAGGGTTTAGAAAGATGCCCCCTTTTCTAAAATTTCAGGTCTCTTTTCCAGTTTTATAGTTGTGTGAAGACTGCTTTCTTTATGCCCCCAACTGCTCCCAAGCAGTTATTCCTCCTGGAAACTATGATTCATTCCTCCATGTAAATGCTTTGATTGAAAACATACCACTGGTATTCTTCCTTATGTTTCCCAGCTCAGATGACAGAACTATTAGTTGCTAATTAGCAAAAACCTGAGGAATTAGCTTAAAGAAAAGAAACTGAATTTTTAATTGGCTGGCATTTATCTTCTGCAGAAAGCTGATGTGCTAAGCCCACTTGCAGTCTTGTGTGCTAAAAAAAAAAAGGCAAGGAAGATATTTTTTCTACCTGTCTGTCTTTATGTTAGGTGACTTTCCACACCCTTAAGAAATCCATCTTCTAAGTGAGGAGAAAGGAAGAGGTGTATTTTACATATTTAATAGACGCACCTGCTCACTTTTCTTTTACTCTCGGAGTGTCATCTGGAGGCTGTGAAAGACAAAGATGCCTACAAGGCACAAATGAACAGTTTGGTATTGACCAGACTGCAAAGACAGTGACAGCTCCCCGCGTGCACAGTTCTGTTCTCATCCAGGCTATTGTTTCCATCTTTGGAGAACAGTTGAGGAACCAATCAGGAATGATGTGATTGTTCCTCCCTCCCCCCCTGAAAACTGGAGGATTTCACCAGAAAGACTGA